AGGGGGCGCGCATCTGGGGTAATTTACGCGGGGTCGTGGCCTCGGGAGCGTGGGCTTTGTATCATTTCCAATGGATTAGGGCCTCATGGGGCGCGAGCTTCACATACTTTACGAGGGATCGTGGCCTCGGGAGAGCGGACCTGCTGTCATTTTTCAGGGATCGCAGCCTCGGGGGCGCGAGCCTACGGCAAGTTACAAACAAAAAGGATCGTGGCCTCGGGTTCTTGAACCGGGCGTAATTCTGGCGGGAATTTCGGCCACGGGGGCACGACTCTGGTGTCATTTGCGTGGGATCGTGGCTTCGGGGGCGTAAGCCTGGCGTATCCCCAAAAACTGATGATGGCCTCGGGGGCGCGGGTCTCGCGTGATTGCCGTTCAATCTTGATTGGAATGGGGGGAGAGCCGGTAGGGAGATATAATTGCCCTCTTCTTCTTCTTCTTCTTCTTCTTCTTCTTATCATCTAATGTGCATGTCTGTCGTCAGGTAAAACTCTTATCTTTCACGTCGGTCTTCTCGCATCTATTCGATTGCCACCCACCTCCCCTGCCACCTCCAGGGGACAGCCTGTTCGCTGCGCGACATCGCCCGGAGGGCAGCCTGTGTTGGAATTCTGGTTCCCATCGACCACGACCTCTCTAGCTCGCCATCGCGCTGGCGCGATGGAGGAGGAGGAGGAGGAGGAGGAGGAGGGACGAAGAGAGAGGAGGAGGAGGAGGAGGAGGAGGAGGGAGGAGGAGGAGGAGGAGGAGGAGGAGGAGGAGGAGGGGAGGAGGAGGGGAGGAGGAGGGGAGGAGGAGAAGGAGGAGGAGGAGAGGAGGAGGAGGAGGAGGAGGAGGAGGAGGAGGAGGAGGAGGAGGAGGAGGAGGAGGAGGAAGCGTTTCCTTTGCCAGTGGCGTTAGGAACCGGCACGCCTCCCCTCGCCGCAAGGAGGGCCGCGCCCGTGCGGAGCGCGATCTGCGCCTCCCGCTCTCGGCGCTGCGAGACGCGCTGGAGGGGGGGGGGTCGGTGCCTGCTGTACTTCTTATCCTCCTCCTCCTCCTCCTCCTCCTCCTACCCTTCTCCTCCTCCTCGCCCCGCCTTCTCTCCTTCCTCCTCCTCCTCCTCCCCTCCTCCCTCCGCCTCTTTCATCCTCCTCCTCCTCTTCCTCCTCCTCCTCCTCTTCCTCCTCCTCCTTCCCCTCCTCCTCCGCCTCCTTCATTTTTCATTTTCTCTTCCTCTTCCTCCTTGTCTTCCTCCTCCTCGTCCTCCTCTTACAACAGACGGAGAGTGTTAGACGGAATGGTGCCCTCGGACTCCGAGGCGGCCGATTTCGCCGGCGCCGTGCGTGTTTCAGCTGATCTCCCGCACAATGAAGGGACTCGTCGATCATTGAGGCTCGAGTTTTCTTCGGGACGCTCCGCCCCCTCCCCCTCCTCCTCGTCAGGATGGAGGAGGACGATGGGGGAGGAGGAGGAGGAGGAGGAGGAGGAGGAGGAGGAGGAGGAGTAGGAGGAGGAGGATGAGGAGGAAGAGGAGGAGGCGGAGGGGGAGGTGGAGGAGGGGGAGGAAGAGGCGAGAGAGGGGGCGAGGGCAGGGGACGACCGGCGGGGAGGAGGGGGAGGTTGGGGGACCAGCAGCAAAGGATGAGGTTGATGATGCTGCTGCTGATGATGATGCCGATGATGCTGTTGATGATGTTGTTGATGACGATGATGATGATGCTAATGATGATGCTGATGATGATGGTGGTGATGATAGTGCTGATGATGCTGATGATGATGATGCTGATGATGATGAAGATGATGATGATGATGCTGATGTTGATGGTGATGATGGTGATGATGATTATGTTGCTGCTGCTGCTGCTGATGGTGGTGGTGGTGATGATGATGATGATGATGATGATGATGATGATGATGGTGATGATGATGATGATGATGATGTGATGATGATGATGATGATGATGATGATGATGATGATGATGATGATGATGATGATGATGATGATGATGATGATGATGATGATGATGATGATGATGATGATGATGATGATGGGTGAAGGGTGGTTGGTATGGGAGAGCGTGCAGCGAGAGCGAAGACGCGAGGGAGATCGAGCGCAGGGCTTCGCGCAGCGGGGTGCTCTTAGGGGAGGATGGCGACGCCGTCGCGGCGGGCGATGGCCCCCAGGCGCGGCGCTGGGGCCTCCCCGCCGAGGGGCCGGGTGCTGCCAGAAGGGGGCCCCCGCCCCCTGGGGGGATCCTGGCGTTCGCAGGGAGGCCCAGATGGCTCCAGAAGGCCCAGAGGGCACCTCGGGATTCTGTGGGGCAGTCTGGGCCTCGAGCGGGCCCAGTCTGCCCAAGAGGGTCCCGAGCTGTCTTGGGCCAGGGTCAACGAGGGTTCGCCCCTTGCAAGGCCCAGAGGACCCCAGGGCACCTTGGGCCAGGACCACCAGAGGGAGGATGCGGAGACGGTGGGTGGTCACGAGGGCCAACACCGCAGACCTGAGATCACCGTGAGCATGGCCCCTGCCAGACGATTTCGGAGGCCACGGTTCCCCCTACACACCTGGTCTTAACTTGGCCCAGTCGCCTGTCCGTTGTGGTGGCTTCCTTAATCTACACGTACGTGTCAATATGTATGTGTATCGTCCCCTTCTCTTCTTCTCCTCTTCCCTTCCTCGTCCCACTCCTCTTTCCCTCCCCCTTCGTCTTTCCCTCGTCTTCGTACTTCTCTTGCTGGCCGTTTTCTTTTTTCTTCTCCTCTCCCTCTTCCTGCGCTTCCCCTTTGTGGCTTTGTCCTCGCTATCCGACCTCTCCTCCTCCTCCTCCTCCTCCTCCCCTCCTCCTTCCTCATCCCTCTGCTCTTTGCCCTTGCCTCTCCCTCCACCATCCCGCCCGCCCCAGGGCACCGCGCCCGCGTCCGTTGGGCGACGCGCGTGAACTGTCCCGCGGCGGAGCGAGCCCCCCCACGGAGCCCTCGGCGGCCCTCGGGAGCCTCTGGCAGCCCTCGGGAGCTCTCGGCGGCCCTGGAGGAGGAGGAGGAGGAGGAGGAGGAGGAGGAGGAGGAGGAGGAGGAGGAGGCGGAGGAGGAGGAGGAGGAGGAGGAGGAGGGGGAGGCGGAGGAGGAGGAGGAGGAGGAGGAGGAGAGGGAGGAGGAGGAGAGGAGGAGTAGGAGGAGGAGGAGGAGGAGGAGGAGGAGGAGGCGGAGGAGGAGGAGGAGGAGGAGGAGGAGGAGGCGGAGGAGGGGAGGAGGAGGAGGAGGCGGAGGAGGAGGAGGAGGAGCAGGAGCAGGAGCAGGAGCAGGAGAGGAGCAGGAAGAGCAGGAGCAGGAGCAGAGGGAGCAGGAGCAGGAGGAGCAGGAGCAGGAGCAGGAGCAGGAGGAGGAGGAGGAGGAGGAGGAGGAGGAGGAGGAGGAGGAGGAGGAGGAGGGAGGAGGAGGAGGAGGAGGAGGAGGAGGAGGAGGAGGAGGAGGAGAGCCTTCCGCGGCCCTTCGGCGGCCCTCCGCGGCCCTCGGGGGCCGTCGGCGGCCCTCGGCGGCCCTCGGCGGCCCTCGGCGGCCCTCGGCGGCCCCTCGGCGCCCCTCCTCGGCGCCCAGGCGATGCACGACGCCCGCGGGTGCGCCGCGCGGTTCCGGGAGGCGGCCGGGGCGCACGCCGAGCCCCTGCGTCGCCTGCTCCTGGACAGCCGCACGCCCCCCCGCGCGCGCGCCTGCGTCGCGTACCGCGAGCGTTGCGTCGGCGACGCGACGCTCGCGGTGCGCGACGGCGCGACGCGTCGCGTCGCCCCGCGTCGCGCCGCCCCGTGCCGCGTCGCCCCGCGTCGCGTCGCCTCCTGTCGTGCCGTGTCGCCACGGGTCGCGTCGTGTCGTGTCGCCTCGAGGGAGAGGGGGAGGGGGAGAGGGAGGGGGAGGGGGACGGGGGAGGGGGGAGAAAAGGAGGAGGAGGAGGAGGAGGGGAGGAGGAGGAGGAGGAGGAAGTGGGAGGAGGAGGAGGAGGAGGAGGAGGAGGAGGAGAGGTGGAGGAGGAGGAGGTGGAGGAGGAGGAGGGGAAGGAGGAGGAGGAGGGAGGGGGAGGAGGAGAAGGAGGGGGAGGAGGCCGTTCCTCCTCCGCCTCGCACGCGCCTCCTCCCTCTGCGTGGGTGCCGGGCCGCTGCGGCTCGCAGGCTGCGGCGCCCGCGCGGCCCCCGGTGGCCTCTCCTGGCTCGAGCGAGCGCCCAGCGCACCTCCAGGCCGCCTCCCCAGCCACGCCAGGGCTCCTTTCGATTCCTTCGGTTCGATTCGATCCCTGGCCCCCCCCCTCCTCCTCCTCTCCTCCTCTTCTCCCTCCTTTTTCTCCTCCTTTTTTCTCCTCCTTTTTCCTCCTGCCTCCTCCTCTCCTCCTCCTCCTCCTCCTCCTCCTCCTCTTCCTCCTCCACCTCCTCCTATTCCTCCTTCGCCACTTCTGCCTTCTCCTCTTCTGCCTCCTCCTCCTCCTCCTCTTCCTCCTCCACCTCCTCCTCCCTGGCCCCCCCCCTCCGCCCCTGTCGTCCGCGCACACGCCTCGGGCCACGACGTGCCAACCCCATCCCCCCTCTTCCAGGGCTCCTTTCTATTCCTTCGGTTCGATTCGATTCGGTTTCGATGGCTTTCGACTTCGATTCGATTCGACTTGGGATTCCGATCTGGGCTCCGATTTCTCACTGGAGGCCTGCTAGCCTGCCAACTTCGCGCCGGTCTGACTCATCCCGACTCGGCTGCAGATTTCCACCGATCCGATTCATTTCGATCGCCGGACTCATCGATTCGATTCTGGGATCTTTTGCCCCGCGCGCGCAGCAGCATGGGCCGGCCGACTGAAGCTGCCCTTGTGTGCTGGTGCCTTTGTGCGGTGCGTGCAGGCCGGAGGTCAGAGGAGGGAAAGGTACCCTCAGGGCCTCCTGGGGGGCCCTCGTCGCCACCGCCGGATTCGCCTCGAAATCCTGTTTGGAACGCACCCCAGGAGAGGCCCGGGGAGTAGCAGCATCGGTACCTTTTGGTCTCCCTAGGAACTGCAGGAGCCGCCGCCCATTGGCCCTGTGAGCAGAGCACGGGTGCCCTGAAGGGTTCGTGGATCGTGTACCAGGGTGAGGATAGTCATGGGACCGTGTGCAACGTGCCCTCTGGAATCTGTCGCTCTTATGCTCACTTCATCTTCGTCGTGTCTGCGCCGCGTCCGCTCGATCCAGTGTGGGCAGGGTCTTTGATCTCTGTAGACGGTAGAGAATGGCAGCCAGCAGAAGCCTCCCAAGTGATCCTGGAGCAGCTGCGCTTGCCCGAGAGTGAGCACTCGATGGTGTTCTCGGTGCAGTTCGACCGCATTATACCCATGCTGGCGCAGAGCGTTACCCCCAAGACAATTTGTGCTGTGGGATGGTTCAGGGATCTTGAGAGCGAGTCCTGCGGCACACTTCCACAGATCTGTGCAGATACGAAGGCAGCGCTTGAAACTGCTCATCTCTCGGGCCTCAGTGCCCCGCTCGGCTTCTACAGGTATGGCAACTGGACATCAGCATGCGATTCTTCGAGTGGTTTCTGCAGGGTCGTGGGTCATCACGCCTTGAACGTCGTTGCTCGGTTCCCAAGCATAAGCCCGATTTCGATCGTCGGGGAAGTTGCGTGGACCGAAATCAACGGGCCACCGTCGAGCGACGCGTGGATGGCTGCCGGAAAATGCGGATTCTTGTCTGTATGTGACAGCGCGACGGTGAATGGCACCGAAGTGCGCAGCCAACGCTTCCACTGTGGAATCAACCAGAAGCGTTCGCTTCCATTGTCCACATACGCATGCATTCGGTTCACAGCCACAGATGACACCACAGGAGATTTCCTTGCAGTGGACTTGTCCACAGGAAGTGGTGGCTACCATGTTGGCAATGGTGTGAGATGTTCCCCCCTTCAGACGGAGGCGGTGGAGCCCAGAACAGTTCCTGTCTTCTCCTAGGTATTTGGCATTTGGACATCAACATGCGATTTTTCGAATGGTTTTTGCAGGGTCGTGGGTCATCACGCCTTGATAGTCGTTGCTCGGTTCCCAAGCATAAGCCCGATTCCGATCGTCGCGGAAGTTGCGTGGACCGGAATTAAACGGCCACCGTCGAGCGACGCGTGGATGGCTGCCGGAAAATGCGGATCCTTGTCTGTATGTGACAGCGCGACGGTAAATGGCACCGAAGTGCGCAGCCAACGCTTCCATTGTGGAATCAACCAGAAGCGTTCGCTTCCATTGTCCACATACGCATGCATTCGGTTCACAGCCACAGATGACACCACAGGAGATTTCCTTGCAGTGGACTTGTCCACAGGAAGTGGTGGCTACCATATTGGCAATGGTGTGAGATGTTTCCCCCTTTCAGACGGAGGCGGTGGAGCCCAGTACCGTTTCGGTGTTCGAGACATAGGCGTGGTCGAAGTATTCCTATACATGGTCGAAGCGTTCGATCAACCGATTCCCCAGTTCTGTTTCGGGGTCTCCTGGTTGACAGCCCTTTAGACCGACCAGCGCGGGCTGACGCGGGAGTGGCACATTTGAGCAGAACGCAGAGAGCACGCGTCGCTTTTCTTTCGACTTTCGAGTTGAGACGGGCTGCGTCAGAGATGTATTTCACTCGGCCATCGACGCTTCACCCACGCCCGTTGCTGGCTCCTGCCCCGAGGTGCCCAGGGGTAGGGCACGGATGGAATGCTCGACCTCCAGAGGCCAGATTCCTATCGATACCTCCATTCTGGTACCTCGTGGAAGTTGGGCGTTAGCAGAGGTGCAGTTGCGCCAGACATCAACAAACCAATCCTCTCCTGGCTGGCCAACATTTTCTTCGGCACCTTCACCATTCAGCCGTCCTGGTTTCTAAGACCGGCCTGCTTGATAGCTGGATGTGCATGTGTCAGGAGGGAAAAACACAGACACAATTAGTTGTCGATTCCCCAGACAATAGGGAACATCTGGGGAGCGGGGGGGAGACAACAACCCCGAAAGTATGTGAAGATGCAGGGAATCCTGTTATTTGTGCCTATCTATTTGTGTGTCCCAGGGCCCCTTCGATGTGGCCACCCATCTTTCCAGCGCTCGGCCCTTTGCGGCCGTGCATGCGGGGCTTCCGCGTGTGTATCTTGCGCATGGCCTCCAGCGGACTCCACGCGTGAGTTCGGCCGTGCGTGTTTCTAGCCTCCCGGTCTGGTTATTCGCCGCCCACCAAACCACCCCAACCCAACCCGAAGGCTTCCATTTGCCCTCCATTTCCGGTGTGTGGGGGGGGGGGGTCGGGGAAGAATGAAAAAACATGCATGGAACCCGTACCCCCCTCAACTGGGTCGGGTTGGGGTGGTCTGGTAGGTAGTCAGTTCTTTGTTGGCAGGGATGCCGGAGGCTTTCAGGGGCAACGTTCGGGGGGGGGGGGTACGCTCAGGGGAAATCGCATCGACATCCAATCGCCCGTGCATCGCCGACGGGGACCCGATAGCTCATCCCGCCTAGAAACGTTGGTGTCGCCATCGGGGGCCTATCGCCGATCTATTGGCGCTGCATCGCCGATTCCAGCTCGCTGTGTCCGCCCCTAGGCCACGTCCCCCCCTACCCAGACATTCGACGTCGTGCTTCTTTCGCAGCGTGGCTCCCCAGAGGTCTGGACCTTCTCCCCGGGACCAGCTGTTCATCCTGGGTCGCTTTTTGAGGGCCCCGGGGCTCGGCAAGGGCCTCCTGAGGCCGAAAAGTGCCCAAGCTTC